TGTGCTTCCTAGGGGGTGAGAGACAACCCTATGGGCAGGGCCCTAGGCCTCCACCCCTGCTTCTGGTAGTGCAGCTCTGCTTTTGACTGTTTAAAGATTGTGTTTCCAGGTATAATATAATTAGGAAAAAGAGATTCTCCCCACAAAAGCAACAGAGGGATTTCAAACCACAGATTCATTCTTCACAACGTATGTCATTTACAGAGGAAGAAGGAAGCCCACAAGGCTTAGGTGGCTGACTTAACCCAGGCCACACAGGGAATGAGTGACTTCAGATCCAGTTCTCCGAAGAGCCAGGTTAGCTTACTGCACTGACCAAGGGACAAGCTTTGGGGAATGTGCAGCCCTGAACCACAGCCAGAGGAAATCCCTTCCTTCACTGCCTTTGAGGGCTCATTTAGGGCTGAATAGAGACCACAGGGCTGCACAGACCAAGGAATCAGACCTGCATGAATTGGAAGGAACTTTAAAGCTCTTCTCATTTCCCTCAAGGGCAAGTGTTCCCGCCTGAGTCTCACAGCCTTAACTGGAGGCCACCTAGGCTCTGGTTCTCCCAGTGACAGGGAGCTTTCCATACTCTGAGATGACTCTTTCGGGATTGTGCTTGAGATCACTGACCAAGACGATGAGGAGAGAGATCTTGTAGCACTTTTCTTCCTGGTTGTGCTGAGACATTTATCAATGACTTGGACAGAGACATGGATAAAAAGCACCAAGTATCTGAATGTTAGAATCAAGATTCTGAGAAGCTGGAGCAGCGAGCTGAAACACAGGGTGAAGTGAATCATGGTCTCATTAAAGTCCTGCAGCTTAGTTGCACAGAATCAGCCTGCACAAGCAGAGGTTGGGGATGGCATGACAATGTATCTGAGAGCTCTCATTTCTGCATGCTCCACAATCAACGGTATGAGCCAGCTGATGCAAACTAATAGCACTGTGTTTAGATTCATGTAAATTAACTGTTTTCCTTTTCAAAATTGTAATATGAAGTAGGGCAATGAGGATCATAGAAGGCAAGCACTTGCCCAAGGTCACACAGCCTGAATCTGTGTGTTATGAACCACCTTCTGTTGCCTTCCCATCTATGCAACGGGGTCGGGAGTCACAAGGAGGCTGAGTTTGATTTACGCATGCATTCTTAAATGGTCTGTTCATGCACCTGCACTTGCTTACAGCTAGGCTCACACAAGCCCCACAGCTACCAGTTTATTTACTCACGTCGTATTCATTCTGTTAAGCAGGTGAATGCTAATCGTGTGATTAACGTACCCCTACAGTTATTCAAAAATTGTCTCCTAAGTATGTGTGTATACTGTCTTGTGAATGTGCATACTCACCCACATGCAGATTTTCCTGTGAGGCTGGGGAACCGAGAGCGTGAGGACCCACCCCAGACAAGTGCCCGCTCATGGCTTCCCAGAACAGCCTGCAGCTGGGCAGCAAGCTTAGACTTGACTGGAGACCAGTGGCTTCCTGCTCCTCTGGGTGCAGCCTGGACCTTCTCCAGAGGGCTCAGTGGACCCCACCCTCACCACGGTCTCAGGCTTTGATTCTGCCTTGGCTTTGAAAACTAATAATAAATGATAGTTACTGGGTGCTTTTCTATGGGCTAGGCACTGTGCTAAGCACATTAATGTGCATGACTTATTTAGTCTTCATACAATCCCAGGAAAGCAGTACTCTTTATAGCTCCATCTTATAGATAAGGAAACTGAGGTTTGTAGGCTTAACTCGCCCGAGGTTATGTAGTTAGCAAGCGGTGGAGCTGGGACTTGAACCTCATAGTTGGGTTCACAAGTGACCACAGCTTCTCTTCCTGGCAGCGTGGTCAGGAGGAAAGAACCTGGCTCAAGTTCTCACCCTGTGACTTTGGGCAAATCCCTTTCTTTTGGGGGACTTTATTTTCCAGCTTCCAAAAGGAAGGGAGGATCATTAAATGTTCTTTCAGCTTTCATTCTGCCCTTGCTTTTCTTAAGTCCAGATCCTTCCATTTTTCAACTAGTATTTATTGAGTGTGGTTATGTACCAGGTCCTGATCTCAGGCACTGGGAATTCATGAGTGAATAAGATACACAAAGCTCCTGTCTACAAGGGGCCCAGTGTCTAGTGCAGGAGGCAGTCACTAAACAAACAATCAAGAACATATTGGTCGTGATAAGTGCCATGGAGAAAATAGGATGATGTGATAAAGATGGGCATAAGGCAGGGGGCTACATCAAACAGGGGGTTAGAAGGGGACACTGAGCTGAGAACTGGGTAACAAGGAGTCAGCCACCTAAAAATCTTAAGTAGAGGGAAACCACAAGTACACAAGCCCTGGGCAGGTCACAGTTTGGGATGTTTTCAAGGTGAAAGGAGGTCCATGTGCCTGCAGCTTAGTGAACAATGGGGAGGGTGCTAGAAGGTATCATTGGAGAAGCAGGCAGCGCCCAGATGTTATGGAGCCTTCCAAGCCATGAAAAGGAGTTTAGATTTTAAAAGGAGTTTTAGATTTTGCTATGGGAAGCCACTGGAAAACTTTAAGCAGGGAAGTGATATGAACTGACCTATGTTTTCACAAGGTATTTGAAAATAGTGGTCATAGGTGCTGTGGGCCAGGAGGCACCCACAGAGCCCAGGTGCCTCTGTGCTCTATAAGCCTGTTTACTTGCTCGGGCCTGGTGCCAGGCAACAAGGGCAAGGGCATATGTCCAGACATAGGCCCTCTCGCCAGCAAACCACTTGCCAGATCTGTGGGTCCTATAGCATCAACACAGTTCTGGCACCAACCCCCACCTAAGGGTTCATTCTCTTTACATCTTATCCCCCTTCAGGTGCCCCCTTCAGGTGCCCCCCCCCTCCTGCTGCCTGACCTAAGCTCATCTCTGCAAGGTGCCCTGTGCAGCTGCTGAGCAGTGTTTTGTTGGGGCCTGCCTTACATGGGTGCTGACCTGGTGAACAGGAAGCTTTCTGCAAAGCAGGGCAAGCAGAACTGGGAGGCTGCATATATCCTGGGCCCACTGGGCCATGGAATGAGTAGACCTGGGGCACGGACACATTCTCCCCTGGAATGCCATTCCCGGGTGGCGGAGGGCAGTGGGGGTGGTGGGGAGTTGGGGTCTGAATGACTCAGGGGTTCCCTCGCACTTTCAGGAAGCTATGTCAGGGATAGAAGGAGTATGGCTTTTGCTCGGAGCCGGCTTTGTCTTGAAGTGCAGTGGTAAGCCAGGTGTGAGACAGGGAACAGGAAGGGCGAGAAATAGAGAGCATCTCTTTTTTGTCACTGGCTTTAGGGCCCCAAGTATAGAATCCACCTCCATCCTGGCCCCTCTTTTCAGAGGTGCTGGGCTCAGGACACTGTGAGGGATGGTGGCCCAGGGGCTGGAGGAGGGGGAATATTCAAATTCCTTTCTGTCACAGGCTTTCAGATGCCAAGTTGAGCAGACTTTGCATTCCTGCCTCTATCCTGCCTCTCATGTTGGGATGCTACCTGCAAGGTCTGAGAGAATTTGCATTCAGTTCCCTTGACTCTGGAAAGAGAAGGATCCGGGCCTCTCCTTTTCCCCTATGCCCTTAAAGTTAACTCTTCCGAGCGAGGCAACTGGAAAAACAAGTCTTGCCTGTTTCATCCGGGAATGCTCAGCACATCTGGCTGGCAGCCATGTAGCTCCTTGTAGTCACGACTCCCCCAGGCAGGCCAGGCACCAGCCTGGTGTGCACAGCCTCAAATTTTGCTTCTAGATGGCCCAGTTTGGCAACCAAGCTCTGCTTTCCTCCCCGCCCACCCCACTCCCTGTGGTTGGCCCTGAGAAGTCTCACATTTTGACCCAGGCTGGACTTCAGGGACAAACCGTGTGGGAAATGGCAAGGGAGAGAACAGGGCGAGCAACAGGTCTTAGAGAAGAGAAGCATTGATTCATGGTTAGTTCGGCAACTCCCAGGAACTAGTTGTTACCTGACCACCCACCTTGTGACTGGGACAAGACCCTTCCCCAGTGTGGGACTCTATGTCCCCATCTGTGTATGAGGAGCAGGGTCAAAACTCTGTCATCTCTAAGGTCCATTTCAACTCTGACATTCTAGGGGTTTAGGAGTTTTCTATGTTTAGGGTCACAAGATGAGTCAGATTCAGGCTCTGTCCAAAGGGACTTGTGATGGGACAGTTGTAGGTAAGCCTGGGATCAGGGAAGCAGCCCTGACCTGTGACACAGAGTTTCATGTCTAATTCTTGCTTTGCCTCTAACTAGCTGGAAGGCCCTGGGTGGTTCCTTCTCATTATGAAACTTAGTTTTCTGTAACTAATAATAGCTAATATTAAGTTAAATCTTACTATGTGCCAGGCATCCTGCTAGGTCATTTATCTTTGTTATTTCATTTAATTTCCGCAACAATTCAATGAGGTAGATAAATATCCACATCCCCATTCTACAGAAAAGGAAATCAAGGCTCACAGAGGTTAAATAACCTGCTCAGAACAGTGAGTGGTGGAGCCAGGGGCTGACGGCCGGGCAGCCGATGACAGGCCTGTGATCTGGTCACTTCGCTTCTCTGCAGCCCCTGCCATCGTGCAGATGCAGCTCAGTTTGTAGGAAGCACTTGGAGCTGGACTGCTCAGCTCGGGGGCCGGGTTGGAATTATTTCACCATCACTGGTAAGTCACTGAAGGTTTTTGGAAGAAGAGCAAGGTGGTTAGGTCTGTGTTTCATCTACCAGGTGCCCTAAAGAGAGCATGTAAACCAGCCTGTTATTCTTCAACCCCAGGGTTGTTCAACCTTGGCACTGTTGACATATGGGGCCAAATTATGCCTCGCTATGCAGGCCATCCTGGGCCTTGTGGGGTGTTCGGTGGCATCCCCACCCTCTATCCACTTGACGCCAGTAGCACCTGCCCCCATAAGCTGAGACAGCCGAGATTACCTTCATTGTCAAATGTCCTCTGAGGGGCAAAATCTCCGAGTTAAGAACTGCAGCAGGGGGTGGCATCTCTTTTCTAACATGCACCCTTTCTTTTCTTTGCCCAGGGTTTCAGGAGTTTTTCCAACATGATTATTGCCTTGTTGGGTTTTGTCATTTTCTTGCTCAATTGTACGACCTGTGAGAAGCCTCTAGAAGGGAACAACTCCTCCTCAGCCTGGCACTTCACACACTCACTTTATAATGCGACCATTTATGAAAACTCTGCTCCCAAGACCTATGTGGAGAGCTCTGTGAAAATGGGCATTTACCTCACCCAGCCCCAGTGGACAGCGAGGTACCGGATCATCTCTGGGGATGTGGCCAATGTGTTTAAAACAGAGGAGTATGTGGTGGGCAACTTCTGCTTTCTGAGAATAAGGACAAAGAGCAGCAACACGGCCCTTCTGAATAGGGAAGTGCGAGACAGCTACACCCTCATCGTCCAAGCCACCGAGAAGAACTTGGAGTTAGAGGCTTTGACCCTGGTGGTGGTCCACATCCTGGACCAGAATGATCTGAAGCCCCTCTTCTCCCCACCTTCATACCGAGTCACCATCTCTGAGGACATGTCCTTCAAGAGCCCCATCTGCAAGGTGACTGCCACGGACGCTGATCTGGGCCAGAATGCCAAGTTCTATTATGCCTTTAATACAAGGTCAGAGATGTTTGCCATCCATCCCACCAGCGGTGTGGTTACCTTGGCTGGGAAGCTCAATGTCACCCAGAGAGGGAAGTATGACCTCCAGTTACTGGCTGTGGACCGCATGCGGAAAATCTCTGAGGGCAACGGATTTGGCAATGTGGCTGGGCTTGTCATCCATGTGGATCCTGCCCTCAGGAAGCCCCCAGCCATCATCTCCGTGGCAGTGGCTCCACCGGACAGCAGTGAAGGTGCCACCTATGCCACTGTAGTGGTAGATGCAAACGACTCAGGCGCTCAAGTGGACTCACTGGAAATTGTTGCTGGTGATGCCGGAAAGTACTTCAAAGTCATCAAGTCTTACGCCCAGAGCAATGAGTTCATTTTAGTGTCTGTCAGAGACATCAACTGGTTGGAATACCCCCATGGATTCAACCTCAGCCTGCAGGCCAGGAGTAGAAACAGGCCTTCTTTTTATTCCCAGATCAGGGGCTTTCACCTACCCCCTTCCAAACTGGCTTCCCTCAGATTTGAGAAGACTGTTTACAGGGTGCAGCTTCGTGAGTTCTCCCCTCCTGGAAGCCATGTGGTGGTGGTGAAAGTAACCCAAGCTCTCCCCAACCTGCAGTACATCCTAAAGCCATCCTCAGAGAGTGCAGGGTTCAAACTTAATGCTCGCACTGGCCTCATCACTACCACGAAGCTCATGGACTTCAGTGACCGAGCCCACTACCAGCTGCACATCAGAACCTCACCGGCCCTGGCCTCCACGACTGTGGTCATCGACCTCATAGACTCTAACAACCATGCTCCCATCTTCAATAGGTCTTCCTATGATGGCACCTTTGATGAGAACATCCCTCCAGGCACCAGTGTTTTGACTGTTAATGCCATAGACCGGGATCACGGAGAGAATGGATATGTCAGCTATTCCATCACTCATCCAAAAGCTGTGCCCTTTTCTATCGACCCTTACTCGGGGGTCATCTCTACCTCCAAACCCATGGACTATGAGCTCATGAAAAGAATTTATACCTTCCGGGTACGGGCATCAGATTGGGGGTCCCCCTTTTGCCAGGAAAAGGAAGTGTCTGTTTCTCTTAGGCTCAAGAACTTGAATGACAACAAGCCTATGTTTGAGGAAGTCAACTGTACCGGGTCTATCTATGAAGACTGGCCAGTGGGAAAATCACTAATGACTATGTCAGCAATAGATGTGGATGAGCTTCAGAACCTAAAATATGAGTTTGTATCAGGCAATGAACTAGAATATTTTGATCTAAATCATTTCTCTGGAGTGATATCCCTCAAACGCTCTTTTATGAATCATACTACTGGTCAACCCATCACCTATTCCCTGAAAATTACAGCCTCAGATGGAAAAAACTATGCCTCACCCACAACTTTGAATATTACTGTAGTGAAGGACCCTCATTTTGAAGTCCCTGTAACATGTGATAAAACAGGGGTATTGGCACATTTTACAAAGACCATCCTCCACTCTGTTGGGCTTCAGAACCAGGACTTCAATGATTGGGACTTCACTTCCTTAAGCACATATCAGATCAATCATCATACCCCCCAGTTTGAAGAGCACTTCCCACAGTCCATCAACGTCCTTGAAAGTGTTCCTCTCAGCACCCCCCTGGCTCGTCTTGCAGCCACTGATCCTGACCCTGGCTTTAATGGCAAACTGGTCTATGTGATTGCAGATGGTGATGAAGGGGGATGCTTTGAGATTGAGCTGGAGACAGGGCTGCTCACTGTAGCTGCCCCCTTGGACTATGAAACCACAAGTTTCTACATCCTCAATGTAACAGTGTATGACCTGGGCATACCCCAAAAGTCCTCCTGGAAGCTGCTGACGGTGAATGTGAAAGACTGGAATGACAATGCACCCAAATTTCCTCCTGGTGGGTACCAGATAAGCATTTCAGAGGACACAGAAGTTGGAACCACAGTTGCAGAGCTGAAAGCAAAAGATGCTGACTCAGATGACAATGGAAGGGTTCGCTATACCTTGCTAAGCCCCACGGAGAAGTTCTCCCTCCATCCCCTCACTGGGGAACTGGTTGTCACAGGACAGCTGGACCGAGAATCAGAACCTCAGTACATACTCAAGGTGGAGGCCAGGGATCAGCCCAGGAAGGGCCACCAGCTCTTCTCTGTCACTGACCTGATGGTCACATTGGAAGATGCCAATGACAATGCTCCCCAGTGTATCATGGAACTCAGAAGACTGAAAGTCCCAGAGGACCTACCCCTAGGAACTATCCTAACATTTCTGGATGCTTTTGATCCTGACTTGGGCCCTGCAGGAGAAGTGCGATATGTCCTGTTAGATGATGCCCATGGGACCTTCCAGGTGGACCTGATGACCGGTGCACTCAGTCTGGAGAGAGAGCTGGACTTTGAGAGGTGGGCTGGGTATAATCTGAGCCTGTGGGCCAGTGACAGTGGGAGGCCCCTGGCCCATAAGACCCTCTGCCACGTGGAGGTAATAGTTCTGGATGTGAACGAGAATCTCCACCCTCCCCGCTTCGCCTCCTTTGTGCACCAGGGCCAGGTGCAGGAAAACAGCCCCTTGGGAACCCAAGTGATGGTAGTGGCTGCCCAAGATGACGACAGTGGCTTGGATGGGGAGCTCCAGTACTTCCTGCAGGCTGGCACCAGTCTTGCAGCCTTTAGCATCAACCAAGACACAGGTACTGGGAGTGGGTAGGGTACAAGTACCAGGTCTAAGAAAGGATGGGCCTAAGACAAATCAGGGACTGTCCTGAAAGAAGTCAGGCTGCAGGCTATAAAGAAAGGTAATAAATAGGGACTTCGTCCCATCAAAGTTATAAAAATAAAAGTTATTTCATTTTTAATTTATCTTCTTCATACTGGAGATGTGTATATAAACGTGTGTATGTGCATGTATCCATTTAAGTCAAATTAACCACTACCATAGTATACACATGTAGACACATGTACATGTGTACATATGTACATATATATGCCTAATAAAAGTAATGCATCATGTTTATACATTTTTTATATATAATTAAAAAGTGAGTGTTTCTTTGTGTCCCATCTCCCCAGATATAATCTTTATTAATAATTTTGTCTATAGTATTCTAAATTTTCCTCTTTGTATCAATGTATTATCACTGTTCATTTTATTATTATGAAAATGTAATACAATAGACACTAATTCTGAAACATTTTTTTCAAAAAACATAGCACCAGGATATCTTACATGTCAGTACATACAAATATTGCTCATTCGTTTTCAATGGCTAGATTCTATTCTATCATACAGGAGTTAATATCCTGTTCATATACTTTTACTCATATGCATGAGACTCTACAGGAAAAACTCTAAAAAATGCAGTTGGTAGGCCACAGGATAATGCATATTTTCAATGGTTATAGATATCTCCAAATTATCCTCCAAAAATATGGCAGTGACTTATTTGCTCTTTTTCAGTTTCATAGAAAATAAATGCAATTCAGCAAATACTTATTAAGCAACCTCTACTTGTGAGGTTCTGAGATAGGCACCTTGGGGGGATTCCAGGTGAATAAAGGTAGGTCACTGACTTCAAGGAGTTTACTATCTGATTAGTGATTTATTTCCAGGGGAAAGGGCCAGTGATGTGGTGAAAGAACACATTAGACTGTAGTTCCAGAGCCAGCTCTTCTGTTTGCTTGTATTACCATCTTAGTCAAGTCATGCTCTCTCTGGGCCTTAGTCTCCCCAGCTCTGACATGCTGTGGAAGTGGGCATGGGCACTGCTTTCTCACATGGCTCCTTCCAGATGAGTATGACCTGTGAGAACTTAGGATGCAAACTGCCTTTGTTTTACTATTTGACCCTCAACTTTCAGAACAATGCTGGCCCATAGTAAGCTTTTGAGTGAGTGAGCTAATGGATGAAGCTCAGTCTCTAAAATCATGAAGATGATGGGCAACAGCAATTTATTCATCAAATCCCTAACCCTTAAATTGGTGTCATTAATACTTGAATCTTGAAGAAACCAGTTTAAGGACAACTGCCCCAGGCCTATTTTAGCAGAGAAAGACCCTGAGAAGTCCTACAGTGAGAAGTGAGTTCCCTGGTCTGACTCAGCTGTTCCGCAGTTCCCTTTCCCACAGAATATCTATTGTTATTCTCTCTGCAGTGCAGTGTGGGGACTGTCAGGTAAGGTGATTTCTAAAACTACTTTGAGCTCTAAAATATTTTGGGTTTGGTGATCGACTGTCCCTAGGAATGATTCAGACTCTGGCAGCCCTGGACCGAGAAGTTGTGTCCCGCTACTGGCTGACGGTACTGGCAGTGGATAAGGGTTCCACACCCCTCTCCTCTGTAACGGAAGTCTACATTGAGGTTATGGATGTCAACGACAACGCCCCCCGGATGTCCAGACCCGTCTTTTACCCCTCTGTCTGGGAGGATGCACCCTTGCACACCTCTGTGCTCCAGCTGGATGCCTGGGACCCAGACTCCAGCTCCAAAGGGAAGCTGACCTTCAATATCACCAGTGGGAACCATATGGAATACTTTGCTATTCACCCTCTCACAGGTAAGGACCTCAGAGACGCAGTGCTCCTCAAAGTGTGGTCCTGGATTGGCATCACCTACAAACTTGTTAGAAGTGCAAATTATCAGGCCCCATTTTAGGCTTATTGAATCAGAACTCAGGGTGGGGCCCAGAAATCTGTATTTTAACAAGATAGCCAGGGGGATTCTGATGTGTGCTAAGTTTGAGAACTGCTGCTCTGCAAAGTCCATCTCTGTGTGAAAATAAGAATGTGTCAGCTTCCTTCCTTGGGGCTTATGGAAGCTAAGCAGGTTGGCTGGTGGTGAAACCAGGACCATTTCAGATCTCCAGGTGCTCCCAAACTGACCCCTCTCCTGAGTCACAAGCCACAGGTTGCATCTCTTAACCGTAGTTTCAAACTGATCTCAAGCCTGCCCACAGAGCAGTTGGAAAATCTGCCCACAGTAGAGATGCACTCTGACGGAGTCACCATCTCACAAATACCAATCCTTGGCTCAAGGTCTTCAGGGGCAAAGACAGTGGGTGGTTTGGAGGAACCTGGGCATCACGAGCTTCTAGCAGTGAGTCAAACACAGCCTACGAAGGTGTTTTGTTTGGCTTGCACCAGCTTTAAACAATGATTTTTCAAGTTATTGCCAACATTTTAAAATAAGGAAATTCCACAAAACATTTCAGATTCCTGGTTTTTCTTTAAAAACTAGAAGATCCAGCCATGCTGACCCCACATTCCCTGGAGCTGACAGCAGCTCCCTGTGTAGAGCAGGCACACGTCCTCTGGCCCCTGAAGTCCCCTCAACCCCTACTGTATCATTCTCGACCTGTTTCCCACATTTACACTGCCTGGCTGGCTTCTGTTGGCACTGGGAACTGAGAGCCAGTTCCCACTGCTGCAGATACTTCTCTATGGCCATACGTTCTTCCTGGAGGGAGAGCAACCTTCTTGCAAAGAAAGCTGACATTCTCCCTCTGAGTCTAACATCCTACGCTCCAGCTCCGAGTGCTTTTGTCCTCCTAGAAGATGCTTTCCCCAAAGGCCCTACCTGGGCCCACCCTGTCCCTCCCTTTTCAGAGGAGGGAAGAGATTTCTCACCTAAGGCATTTGCTTCTCAGTGTTTTCCAAATCCCTATTCTGTTTACTGTCAACAATTCCCTGACTTGGGGTCTGGCAAAATGCCCCAGAGGGCAGAGATGTTCTTAGTTTTCCTGCAGTTGAGAAGAAATGTTCACCAGCATAAGCATTTAAAAATAGATTATAAATGAGCCATGAGCCCCCAGCCTGACTTTCTTATCACCACCATTGTACTGTCCCCCTGCCCCTACTTAGAGTCCTTGGATGGTTTCCTTATGCCCCTAAGATAAAGCTGGATCCTGCCATGTTCCAAAGACTTGTGTCTGACCTGGTCCATGCTGACCTTTCTGTCTTTATCTTGCCCGTCTCACTCTGCCACTCTGGTTCTAGCCATGTGGCCTGCTTCAGTCTTTGCCTTCCCCTGGCACATGGCCTTTGCACACTCTGTTCCTTCTGCCAGGAGTTTCTTTTCCTCTCCTTTTGTCTGGCTAACTCCTGCTGTATTTTCAGATCCTTAAAGAAGTTTTTCCTGATTGTACAACACATTCCAAGCACCATCTACCCCCTCCCATTTTTTAAGCATGTCGGACACAGAATGTTATGTTCATTTGTATGATTATTCCATTTTTTATCTATGTCCTTCACTAGACTTCAAAGGATTTCTGGAAAAGGAACCTTGATTGTTTTGCCCTCTGTAGTATCTTCAATGCCTGGCATACCATAGGACCTCAATCAAAAATGGGAAATGAATGAATGAATCTGTCAACATCTATACTTTTTGTTAAGCCTAAGATTCATTTATTTATTCAGCAAACATTTAAAGGTGTCTGCCCTTATCAGGCATTTAAACTGTGTGCTGTGGAGAGAGGTGAAAATTATATAACCCAGTTTTGGGCCTTAAGGAATTCAGTTCATCAGAAGCATGAAGATCTGGATATAAAAAATGATAGAACCAGTGCGAAGAGCACACTATAAAATATGTGTAGATGTGATGCTGTGACTGCTCAGAAAAGAAAGGAAGCTGCTCAGTGTGGTGGGCCAGCCGTGGCTTCATGGAGCCCAGGGCGTGCGTGCTGAGCCAGAGGATGGAGAGGCTTTGACAGGCAGCAGCCTGGAGAGCTCTTGGGCAAGCGGAGTGGCAGGACCAACAGGCAGGAGGCAAGAAGACCCAGGTTTCGTTGACGACGGAGCAAGGAGGTCAATTCTCTAAAGGCATATCCTATTTCCAGCTCTTCTTGACTAAGATCTTGGGGAAGTTCCTTAACTGTTCTATGTCTGAGTTTCCTCACCAATAAAATGGAGATAGTAGCTATCTCCTGGGTGGTTGTGAAGATTCAATGAGTTAATAGATAGAGATATATAAAGAGCTCAGAAGAATGTCTGGACATGTAAGAGCTCAATGGGTGTAGGCTGTTTTGATCCTGAGGGAGAAGAAGCTGGGAAGGTGGTTGGGGTAAGGCCGAGGCTCTGCAGGGTGAGTGGAGTAGAAGAATCTGGAACCCATTAGAGGTGGTATCAACAGCAGTTGGAAAATTATTGGATGAGGGAGGAAGAGGGAAGGGCTAAAGAGGGCCTGAGATGGAGTGATGGGAAACATCTGTTTGGAGGGAGAAATGCTAAGATCCGAATTGGATGTGTGCCCGCCTCATGCCAGGCCCTGAATGGGCCCTTGCGCAGCCCCGGTGTGGCTCCACCTTGTCCTGGTTCCACACTAGCACTCCTTAGGGATCCGGGCTCCGGCCTCAGAGAGGGGGTTGAGGCCAACAGCGGGGGCCCCTGGCAGTGGGGCTTCTCAGGAGCCTTCTTGGACCCCTCCCGTGCCTGCCTCAGTCAGGGGAGAAAAAGTCAGTGACTTGGCTCTGCTGCAAGAAGCTTCCCCAACAGAGGCCACTCCTCACCCATGTGCCCATTTCCAGTTCTGGAACCCGTCCCCCATCAGTGAATCCCCTTCTCCCTCCCTCACGGAGCCTCCATTTCATTCCACATTTACTTGGCCATTAATTGCCTAAACAAGATCGAGAAACTTACTGAAAGTTTTCAGCTGAACCACTGACCCCTACCAGTAACTCTGCTTTCATTTAAGGGAGACCTTCCCTATCCAGCTGTGACCTCTCAGTCTATGGGCTTAAATGTCCTCCCTGGGCTCCCAATAATCTTGCTCTTGACTTCGCTGGTGCTTGCAGAGAACTGACACCTTGTCTTTCTTAAGGCCTCAATTTGTAGCCATAGATTTCATTTCATAGTGCTTCAGAAACAGCTCCTGATTCTAAAATTATTTTGGTGCCTTTTTTTCTCGCTCTAGATTTCATTTTATGCATTGGGCTGCATGTGACTCAAAAGGTACCATCTGCTCCTTCATAAACACCTTCTCATTTGGTTCATTCTAACCTCCAGTAGCTTAAGTAGACTTAAAAGTAGACTTACAGACCGCCAAGCCCACCTTCCTCAATTTGCAGATGGGCTGAGAGGAGCCCAGAGGGGTACAAAGCCACACTTCGTGATTTCCTATGAACTGAAGGCAATGACTGTGATGCTGCATGACTCCTGACAACTGCCTGTTTTACTGGCCAGTCCGTTGTGCACAGCACCCCTCCTAATGATGAAAGAGGACTAGATGGGAACCTCCACTGATAGCCCTCTGCTGTACAATCTCACCTCCTCTCCTCCGCTTCTCTTTCTCCAGAGTTCCATTTCCCCTTAATGTCTTTGTTTGCCAAAGACCAGAGCCTTGACCTAAGATTTGAACTCACCCCCAAGTACAGTGGCCTTAGGAGCCCATTGCTCAGGTGTCTCTTCTGCCATCTCTCCCCAGGTCTCCTCTCCACGGCCCGGCAGCTGGACCGAGAGAGCAAGGAAGAGCACATTCTGGAGGTATGTAGTGGTGGTGGACCCAGCCACTGGATTCAAAAACGTGAAGGAGGCTGGGCTGGAGCCGAACCAGGCCATAGGGCCACGTGTGTGTTGCCAGGCACTGTGGTGGAGGAGGAGGAGCCACTCAAGCTGGGCCTTGCTGTGGCCGGTGGTGGACTTGCAGGGCTGGCTGGCTCTCTGGCTTTGGGAAGGGAAGACCTCTGAAGCCATGCCCAGGCTGGGCAGGAAGCACTGATTGATAGGAATGCCTACAACGAGGTCAGGAAGAGGGAGCGCTACGCGGGTGCTCTGTGCTTGTCAAGTCTGGTTTCCAGCTCATCCCCACCATCCAGAGAGAGAGAGAGAGAGAGAGAGAGAGAGAGAGAGAGAGAGAGAGAGAG